ACAAATATCTAAAATTTATTTGAGATTACAATCTTACAAAGTCTTTCTTTTTCTTTCTTAAACTCTATCAGCAACGTCAAATTATAAATTCATATAAATTGAATTTTATCGTGTAATAAATAAGTGCTTCTGAATCGATCTCAGGACAGAGACACCCTTTATGGACTAACCCCTATATCAAGATGGCTATTACATGACTCAGAGCTAAGTGTAGCACCAATGTTCTTGTTCCAAACCAATCCAATTATCATGGCACCATGGCACTATTTTAGTAATTGCATAAAAGAAGGTGGAATTCCATTTAAGAAAGCACATGGTTGTGAAATATTTGAGATGGCTTCTAAAGATGATGATTTGAACAACAATCTCAACAATGGAATGAATTCAATGACAAAATGCATAATGAGGGAAGTAATTAAAGTGTATAAAGATGGATTTAATTCAATAACAACACTTGTTGATGTAGGTGGAGGGATAGGAGGTGCCATGTTTGAAATTGTCAAGGCATATCCTCATATTAAAGGGATTAATTTTGATTTGCCTCATGTTGTTTTAACAGCACAAAAGTTTGAAGGTGTTGATCATGTTGAGGGTGACATGTTTGAGGCTATCCCACATGCTGATGCTGTTTTCCTCAAGGTAAAAATGTTATTATTTCAAATTTTATTACTTTCTGAGTTTTACTTCATCCGACTATGTTTGATTGAATACAAATTTTTTAAAAAGAATTAATGACTATTGAAACTTAAAAGGCAAAATATATAGGGAAAATGGTCTGAAAAATACTTTAACTTTGGCCGAAATTGTTGTTACGATATCAAACTTTATGGAGGACCTTTTACCCTCCTGCACTATTTAATAGTGTATTTTAAAGGTATATATGTGCCCACGTGGACACGTTACCATTTATAATTATGCAATATTTATGATGTCCACGTGGGCACATATATACCTTTAAAATACACTATTAAATAGTGCAGGGGGTAAAAGGTCCTTTCCAAAGTTTGGTATTGTTACAGCAATTTCGATCAAAGTTCGGATATAATTCAGACCTTTTTCCCAAATATATATGGATAGATACTTAAACCTGACCTTTATTATCACTTTGTTAGTTTGACAATACATATAAATGGTGTGTGAATAGTGTCTCACCAAATTTGGTATGACACTATTTATCAACACTAAATTACTTTTTTTATTATTTTATTATTATTAGTATTACATAATATTTTTAAAAATGTAAATGAAATAAAAATAATAATATAATATTAAAAAAGAGAAAAATATAAAGAGAATATTTCTTTTTGGTATAAAATTTAGTATTGTGAATTGGAATTGATTTACACTAAAATGGTGTTCACATTATTTTGGTGCAAAATTTGATGTTATGGGTTAAAGATGTCTTCAAGCATGGTCAACATTTAGTATGGGTCCGCCCCTTTATCAGACTAGTTGCATCTAGTCTAAATCTCTAGGTTCAACTTGGATGTCCCATTGATCAATTAATTTTATATTTGTCTTAAAATCTTCTATCCGTCTCTAGTTTTTCAGTTGTATTTTAATTTTCTTGATTATGTTTTAATGTATACATGTATAGTGGGTACTGCATGATTGGGGAGACGAAGATTGTGTGAAGATCTTGAAGAACTGTAGAAAGGCGATACCTAAAAAAACCGGAAAATTAATCATAGTTGACGCAGTTTTGAAGTTGGAGGGTGAAGGTTTATTTGATGATATCGGATTCATAACGGATTTGGTGATGATAGCAAACTCTAGTGGTGGGAAAGAAAGGAATGAAGAGGAATGGAACAAATTGTTGAAGGAAGCTGGATTTCCACGTTACAATATCATTGAAATTTCGGCTTGGCCATCTATTATCGAGGCTTATCCACTGTAAGCTCATGCGTATCTTAATTAGTTTTATGAAATATTTGTTATCTCCAAATAATCATCCTATGTAACAATAATGGAGATATGTAATGTTTATTTAGTGACCTAGATGTGTAATTTATGTTTTATATATATATATATATATATATCTTTTTTGTATTCGTAACATGACAATGATGAGTTTAATTTTTTTACATGCACTATAATAGTCTAAATGAATTTTAGACCAATGTCACTTAAGAAATAACTATTCGTAATCAATAGAACTAGCTAATAACCTGAAAGATATTTTTAAAAAATTATATAACATAATTTTACTTAGAGTATTATAGTAAATTTCTCCTATATCTTCCTCTCTTGCTCGCCACTCCCCCCGTCCTCTTTATCTTCCTCTTTATAATACACTACGTGAATCTTCTCTTTTTCTTAGATTAATAAGAAATCCCATTAATGTTTTACCTGAATGATTATTCTTATCTATACCTGTGGTTCTTAGTCTTTAATTAATACTTTCTAGGTGGCTATCAATTGTTAATTTATTTTCTTATTAGATTAATGCCAATATATCAAATTTTTTGGTTTGCGTTATTGATTTGTTGTTCTCTTTCTTCTTAGATTGATACAACCAATTGTATTGTATATGTGTATCACGAAAAAAATATGTGTATTAAAAAAATTGATACACTTATCATCAAATCGTATCTTCGTCGATTGATATATTTGATACAATAATTTTATCTATGCATAGAAAAAATGTATATGTGTATCAGAAAAAAAAAACTGATATAACTATATCAGAAAAAATTGTATGTGTATAAAAAAAACGGATCGATATGATGATATAAAGAATATATATATTCAAACATTGTATCAATATTTTTTTCATTTATGTATCACAAAAAATGATACGGATTGTATATCTGTGCATTTATTTAGGGGTGATACATTGTATATATTTGTATCTATATATTTTTCAATTTCAAAGCTAATATGCGTATTTGTGTGTGAAATCGAAAGAGAGAGAGAGGAGGGGGGAGCGGGAGGAGAGATGCAAGTGAGAGTTGGGGGAGAGAGAGGAGATTATGTATTCGTATATATGTGATTTGTATATCTCAGTTTCAATTGAGATACATCTTGTTTTGAGATACAACTTGCTCGTCTCTCTCCTCTATCTCTCTTAATCTTGAAGTCTATTTTCTTGCATAAAGCATAAAAAGTTATCTTTGAAAAGATTAAAACTTTGTACCAATTTAGGAAATTGTAAACCAAATAGGAAAATGATTATTCTCGAAATTGTCTCAGCCAAACTTCATATAGTTTCTGCGCATGTTTACGTAAAATTAACCAAGGACTTCTATCGATTTTCTTGAAAAAAATAATTATTTTTTCGATAGGCTCTATCAATTATATAATTATTTTTTTCGATAGACTCTATCAATTATCTTAACAAAATACATGATCAATTGTCTCCCTCTCAGCATAACACGTTTAGTAGTGCATTCTTTGATTCCCTCAGTGGATCACATAATTTATTTATCGTGCATACGTGTTAGTTGTTACATGGCCTAAGAATTGAATTGGAGCAAGATTCAAAGAATGTGGGCATGTATATGATTTGAACAATTCCATTGTGACGAATTTACGATCGCAAGGTTGTAGGTGGAGGATGTATATTATTTGAACAACCCTCTCTTCTCAGTTATTTGTCGGTGTGATTGCTCTCACATATTTATTATGGTTAGTGGTTACACTTTAGAGATTAATGTTATGTTCTTTGTCTCAATAATTTAGTGAAATCATATGCTCTCAAATAAAATTTCTGGCATTTTCAATTAGGAAAAAAAAAAAAAGAGAACATCAAACAACTAAATCAATTTCATCCACTACCATATAAAAGTGCTCTTTAGGTAAGAAATGAACTAGAGCAAGTGGAATACAACAAATGTAAGCATGCCTCATTGACTTAATTATTTACTTGCAAGGAACCAAAATGTCCCACGTGTATCTAAGAGTTGTTTGTGGTAGGTTGTGGGGACGGATCTAGAAGGGAACGAGGGTGTTTATTCGAATTCAATCAATAAAATGTTGTGTTGTATATATAAGGTATTTTGTTTATTTACAGTGATTTAGGAAATTCAAAATTTACCTTGAGGTTTCAAGTCTAAATCTTAGACACTATACTTTCATTTTTTTGAACCCCTTAATGTTAATCCTGAATCCGACTTCGCCCTGATGATTGCTTTGAGTGTTTTTTATGGTTAGTGACCATAGTGGTTGTACTTTTCCGTATTCGAGTTGAAATTCGATTAAATTTTAAATTTGTGTCAAGAAGTCCAACATTAAAGATAAAATGCTTCCTGGCAAACACAATAATTTAGTGAAGTCATCTTTTTTTTCCATCGTCAATCCGTCACTGAATTATTCCATAGCAAATAATTTTTTTCGATAATTCATGGCTAATTCATTACTAAAATCTTGTCGTTTAGCTACAAAATTTTTCAATAACTAGTATAATTCATGAGTTTTTTAGTTGTGAATATGATGTGATACTGTGTGAACTTCCAACTACATAAGAATCATTGGCGGTTTATTCAATAAATATGGACCCATATGTCTTCAGCAATCAACCAAGTAAGTCAACATCATCCACTAACATTAGTCCATTACTCAAAGTCATCATCAAACACATGTACTTTAAAGATAACGCGGGATTGACAGCTTGGATACACCTCGATTATTTTAGATTAATTTACACAAAATGCAAATATTACATAACTCTATCTATCATGACTTAAATAAGTGGCGTAGCTAACTTGTGGCTAGATGGTTCAATTGAATCCTCTTCACCAAAAAGTTATATGGTATAAATTAGGTAAAAACTATTTTTAATCACCTTAATATATGAAACAATTCTAGTTTAGTGGGAAAAGAGTTCAAAAATAGCTTATAAACATTACATCATATTCGCTGTTTCTCCACTTTAAATGAAATGTAGTATCTAAACACATTTACATAAAATGTACATAAAAAAAAGAGTTGAGCTTCTACAGAATCATACAATATAAGGAGCCATTTTTGCAAAAGCTTGCAAGAATTGCTCACAATATGGTCTTAATCATAGTCATTTCATGATCATTAATCCACAGTTAATACGACGCGTCCACGCTAATCTCTCACTTCACCTCAAAATTTATCCCTTCAAAACTAAGCTAATCCCTATACATAATACAGAAATCACATAAGTCTGAAGTTTAAGAGATTGCATTACTACAATCCTCATTTTGGTAATCAAGGTGAGGGGATCACGAAAAAAAAAGCCTATTGCAAAGAAGACATTACTACGATCCTCTTTCGAGGATATTCATGCTTCCGAGCTTAAAAAAACATGACCTCAGTGCCAAGAAAGGGCAACTTCAGTATCAGTCCATTGGAGGGGTTTAAAGAGTATGTCATCATTGGAGTTTTTAGCCATGACGAATGCCCAAGAAATAGTTAAAGTCATGGTGCTGGACCCCCAATTGCTTTAGCCAAGAATCGGCCACGCTTAATAGTGACACCATCCTCTCTTGGTCCCTCCCACTTCTGTCTGAAATCCAAACATTACCCTGCATCTTGTAAGTTCCCAAACCGAAAGGTGGAAGTGGGATTGCTTCCCCTTCGATACGTTTCCTAATACCTTTCTCTGTGTTATCTTCAAGGTCCATATCTGCACAATCCCAATGATATAGTGTAAGAATCTTCTGCATATTATCGATCAAGTAACATTGGCGACAAAATGAATAGTACCTTGAAAAGAAGAAGAAAGGGTGTGGAATGTGAGAAAGCATGTCGACAAGTCTTTAATGGTTCTTCCCATGGGAATGTGATATATCGGGTACCTGTAATTTTCATATCAATAAAGTTAGTGACACAAATCTTCACTTGATTCCATCTTTCATTGTTTTGTGGTTGCAAATAAAGAAGCTATAACAAATAAGAAACTAAAGCATCGACATAAATGATACGATCAAATAAGATCCACCACATGGAAAACAAGATCCCCTCAAACACCAATGAAGTGAAAGTATAATAATGTCACCAAATACAAGCACTTCGATCGGGAAAGTTTTTATACATTTAAAGCACCTGAATAACCATCACTTCCATGATCGTAAGCGAGATAGGGAGAGAGAGAGTAATTTTACCAAGCAACTGACATCCAACTAGCTGGTGAAAGATCTACGCTTCTCAATGACATTAATCCAGGGTGTCTTTCAGCTAAGCTACTAATCTGAAAGCAAAATGAATAGTTAGATTCACATAAAAATTACTACAAAACAATGCGTCTTCTCAAGAAATTCAAATTATATTTGCTTGGAATAGTATAATCTGTTCTAGTAAGAAAGCACTGGATAATTCTAATGCAGAAAGGACGAATAAATGCTAATGATACCAGAGGCGCATACATAAAGAGGGAAAAGTAAGTAACTACTATAATACCTAACAGAATCGAATCAAGATGATACGTTATTTACACCATCAAATGGTAATAGTAGTAATAGATAAGAAATGCAAAAAAAGGAGTGATCATTTGTAGAATTCTGTCATTAACGGTTAACCATTACCATTTTTTCATTCTATCAGAAATCGTGTTAGGCATAATGCAAGGTCTCAAAGAAGAAACAAGAAAACAGCGGAAACTGGAATAAAAAGCACAAGTTGGAAAGAATACAACTAAGTTTTATACTTCTATCATACACGAATTACTCGCTAATACCACAAATTTTGAGTTAAAAAGATTGTCGGAAGCAGAGGAATACAAATTAGTGGAATCAATGTCATATTCAACAATCACAAATATAGTTTTTATTAGTACAAAAGAGTGACATAAATTTGAGCAAACAAGATACCTTATCCACCAGAGGTACTCTTCCATATGGAGAAGATCTCTCAAAGTATTGATAATAAAGGTAACCCAATCTATTATTCATTTGCAAGTGATTATCTTGCTCAAATAGACCTTCCTCCGATGAACCCCCATCCGATCTCGAAAGCTTTTCACTCTCACTCTCTTCACTGAATGAATCACTGAAAGAATCCCTCATTTCCCACGCAGACTCAGTCTCCTCCCTATAACAAATTATCAACATTTCACCAGTTTAACTTGAAGAAAAGGACCATCATCACAAACTTTGACTATCCAAAAGTTGTTGCACAAGAAATATGCTTATCAGTTACAAAAATTAGAACTTTTTAAGTACAAACATTGTAACATACAATATACAACAACATAGCCAATGGGGTCCGGAGAGGTTAGAGTATACACAAACCTTACCCTAACTCGTAGAGATAGAGAGGTTGTTTCCAATAGACCGTCAGCTTAAACAGCAGTAACAACAACGAAATAATACAACATATCAATGTAACATACAAAATGGTACCTTAAAATGCTTACAGATGAACTGCTGGTGAAAATTTGAATTGCTGAAAGATAAGGCACATAATATTGAACTAAAGTTTCACCAGAATCTAATCTGATTGGAACTCCAGCACCATAAGCACTCCATTCATCAAAACAATTCCAAAGATCAGACAATGTGAAGTATTCAATTTCCTCCCTTTCCTTAGGATGCCAAAGCTTATTAAGGCTTCTAATTTCACTCTGCAAATAAACAATCACATCATACAAAATTACAAATGATCTGATCATTCATTAAAAAGGGGGCCAGGGAAAAAAAAAACTAAACCTTGGCAAGGAACTGGGATGCTACTAATGGTGTTGTGCAATCCAAAAAAGACTCAAGATTTGATTGCATTGAGCCTTTCTCCATTGTTTTCAAAGGGGAAAATGAACAAAACACAAAGAGAGCAAGAGAGAAAGAGAAATGAAACTGATTGCTTCTCTCTCTTTCTAACTATATGATGAGATAAAAGGATACCCCCACAAAGGAAAACAAACACAAAACAGAGGAAAAAAGGCAAATGTAGAGAGGGGAAGAGACAATAACAGGATTTTATTACCCTTTTATTAAAACACCTTTTAGACTTTCAAAAGAAAATTTACCTAACAAGAAAACTTTAAAAAAGAAATAAAAGGAAACAGATATCTTTTCGATCTCTTTTTTCTAAAACAACCCCACAATCAAGAACACAAACAAACCAAAAATTTCAAACCCCCAAAACTCAAAAACTCAAGAACACCAAAGACCCTTCTTGAATTCAATAAAGCTACAAACTTTTCAACACAAATGTGTTAATTTTTGGAAAATGACATACCCCATAGCCAAAAAATTCCAAAAAAAACTACCCCGTGTTTCCCGCAGGAAGAGGGATTGTTGTGGGGGGGGGAGGGGGGGGGGGGGATAAGAAAGAAGAAGAATCAAGAAAACGATGAGAAAAAGTTTGGACTTTTTGAGGGAGAAGAAGTTAGTGTCACGTCAAGAAAGAGCTAAAGATGATAAATTCTCTTTTCTCTCAACGGAATTCCATGAAAAGGAATCAACTTTAAAGGATAAAAACCATTATTTGTGTTGTTTGATATGATCGATCACTAGATTTTTTGTGAGCTGATGAAGAGGCTGAGAAGGTGGATAGAGACAAAGAAGCAGAGGGAGGGAGGGAGTTGCGGGGCTATAATTAAGGCACGAGGATAGAAGATATTAATATTTTCTTTAGGTATTTTTTTTTTTTGTTTCGCTCGGTGTTTGTTGTCCGTTTTAAGGGTCTAACTAATCTGAATTCACGTTTAAAAAGTCTTATTTCAAATTCACATTTGATAAGGCCCATCTAAAGGAAAAGCGCTTCGTAGCAAAATTACTTTAACCTCTTTGAGCATTGGAATTCGGAAAGTAATATTTCTTTTACAAGTCGAATGAATAGTGAACTCCAATACCAACACCGACACAAAATGAAGTCTGGGAGAGTAGAGTTTATGCAGACTTTACTCCTATTTAGAGGTTGAGGGGTTGTTTCATATAGACCCTCAACTTATTTTTGCAGTTTTCTTGGTCCATAAAATATAGTTGGTCTAACTATCACCCTATAAAAATTGTCTTCAAATTTTAGTGGCACCTTCTAATCATACAAGACTTTAGATGTGATCCTTTACTTCATTCACCCTGCACCAATACGTGAGTGACATCCCTGTTAGTCTTCCCATTTTCTTGAGTAATAGACCCAAGTTACTTGAAATGTTTTCTCTTTGGATGACCTGTATTAAGCCTCACCTTGTTAACCTCATGTGTTTATGTCACTTAAATTGCTCCACATGAAGTCTGTCTTGGTCCTACTCAATTTGAACTTGATAGACTCCGAGGATTGTCACCAAACCTCCCGTTAATTTAGTTGAGTCTAGTCAATCGAAACCATATCCACAAATAACCTGCATTATGGAACCTCACCTTGTATTAGTCTTGTTAATCATACATTAGCGAGGCAAATAAAAATGGGCTAAGAGCAGACTCCTGGTGTAACTCCATCACTAGGAAGCAATCTGAGTCTGCTCCCACTTCCTGGTCTTGGTTGAGGGCTCCATCATACATGTCCTTGAGCGTCGTAGTGTACTCCATAGGTACATCTCTAGCCTACTAGCATCGATCTCCGTAGAACCTACCTTGAATTTTTATCGTCTGTCTTTTCTAGATTGATGAACACCATATGTAAGTTCCTCTTTCTCTTCATATATTGTTCTACAAGTTTCCTTACGAGAGGAATGACTTCTCCGTAGTAGCGTCTCGACAAGAATCTAAACTGATTTTCGAAAATAGACACATTGATCCTCATCTCCATCACTCTCTCTCAAACTTTTATGGTATGACTTAACAACTTGATAACCCTATAATTGTTGCACTTCTAAATATCACATTTGGCCTTGTATATTAATGGGATCACCTCCATTCGTTGGCCATTTTCTTCATCCTAAAAATGATTTTAAAGTACCCAATCATCCCTAGGGGTTGTTTGGTTATGGAAAAATGTCGATATAAATAACACTATATTTTTTAAATTAGTAAATCCTTGTCTCTCGTATCAAACGATCCCTAATATATTATGAAAATGAACTAATCTATTACTATCTCCGTTTTAATTTGTTTGTTTTACTTATTTTTTTAGTACTAATCTATTACTGTCTCTTTTCGTCTTTTGACAATTTTGAATTCTAACTTTCCACATAGCATATTTAAAACCTTAACAGTGAAGGACATTCGATACCTTATCCATAGTTTAGTTAGAATAACAAAATTCAAAAGTCTTTCGTTACTTTTTTAAATTTCATATCAAATCAAAATCAGATAAATTTACGAGTAATTTCTATTATATTAATTTATACAAAACTTTTAAGGATAGAATTGAAGTGGAACTACTACCGAATCTCCGCGTTGCAGGATGTGATCCCATGTGATTGGTTTGCTATGTCCCTACACCAATTATTTAATTTAATTAAAATTAATGTAAAGTTGGTGTTTGGGTGGGATTTATTTTAGAAATTTTTACTAAAAAAAATTACTTGATTGAATATTCATTAATAATTAATAATAGTAATAGAATTATTTGCAAAGTTTTCTTTTGATTGAATATAATCATTAATAATAGTAATAGAATTATTTGCAAAGTTTTCTTTTTTAGTGTAGTGAATGTAACCAATTTGCAACGTACATTAATTAATATGATGAAAAATCACTTCAAAGTTATTAAAAAAGAGTATTTGATTTTGACATATACTTACTCGTTTTAGATATTTATTATGACAAGTATTGAAGTTTTTAAAATTATATTTCAATGGATATCACCTGAAAAAGTGAAAGAAACTAATCCAGAGATTATGCTATCAAATGATTTAATCCACGAATCAAATGACCATGTAAGGAACGATTCAAGCAAGGTAGTAGAGTAATTTGTTTGGTTAATAAAATGAAATTGACCATAATATTATTGGATGTATTTAGTTGTTTTTTGGCAACTATGTACCATTATTTAATTATTTGATGGTGATTTTGTCATGGTTTAATAAATGCATGTTGTTTGAAAAATGTACACGGTAATCTTTTTTTTTTTTTTCATAATATAAATGATTAATTTAACCAGATAGAATATAATCCAAAATTTGGTCAATTTCATGGCAAGACTCTTAGGACAATGAAGTAATTATTGTGTTCATAGATGACTTTTTTCTTATTCCAAAGGACCAATGAAAGTATAATTGAGAAGTTGTTTGAGTATAATAATCTCAAAATAAAATATAGGATTATTTTGTTCTTTGTTTAACAGAAGGTATTAATTAGGTTGTCTCATGATATTATCTATCCTATCATTAATTTATATTATAGTGATGAGATAAGTTATTGTATATACATGATGAAATAACTTATATCAAGGTAGTTAATCTTATGATAACTTATTTTCAACCAAATGACAACTGCCACAGGATACATTGAAATTCTTTTTAAATTAAAGATTTCAAATTTAAACTATGAAAAATAAAATATTTCGATATAAAGTGTTTTCCATTTTAATTAACATTACGTGGAATTAATCATAGCCTTATAACGAGTATTAAACACATATTAATAAAAAAGAGCTTTTGCCTAGGAAGTTTGGCTTGTAGTAACTTTTTCACCATTATATTATTTTATTTATGCTGCCAAACAAGCTATAATCAACCATAGCTTTGTCATCTACTAAGCAATGTGAATGGAAATATGTTTTCCTTTTTAGTGTTTTTTTAACCTGATTTGTATCGTATACGATTTTATTCAGAGAAAACGATTCCTATTAAGAATTTTTTTTATACCTAAGATTTGAATATGAAATTTTTAATTAAGGAAGAAATAACTTTATCCATTATACCACGTCTGGATGAACGGAATATTTTGATTACTATAAATTGAATTACGACCATAAATATCAATTGAAAAAAGGAATAGGAAAAAGTGGTAAGCTTCTTTTAACCTACTAAATCAATTATGTAAACATTGGTACGACAGGCCACAAATTAAAGTTATAAAAGATTTTGATCCTTTCAAAACATGCGTAGGGTAAATAATTCTATCGTTCATTTTTTTTTTTTTCATGATTTCTTAAAAAATAATTATTGATATGAATATTTTATCATAATGTTCAATCTTAAAACTTAAAAAATAATTTAAGAAATAAAAAATTAATATTAAAAATTCTCTCTCTCTATATATATTTTTTTTCCTTTTTCTTTTTATATGCTAAAAAGCGATGACAAGAGTGAAAATAATTTTTTAAATAAAGTGGAACCATTTACAGTTCCTTTTAAGTCTACATGATTGAAGCACGTGGAACAAATGTTTTTTTTTAAAGCTAGAAAGATATTAATAATACCAACTAATGCATAGATTTCAAGTTCAAGTTTTGAGTATAAAAAATTTATGTTAAAGAGTGTTTTTTTTTAATGAATTTATGCGGTATGAATTCGTATTAGTCAAGTCTCACTATAAAAATCAAATATCAACATATTATAAGTTAGAAAGGAAATTCACATGATTATTTAATAACGTGTATTACACTAACACAGTATAAGGGGGAAAAAGTATTAAAGGTAAATAACAATTTTTCTTTTTGAAAATAAAAGAGCATGAAATGAAAGAATATTTGGAAGAATGTTAATATAATATGAGGAAGAAAAAATCTATGAATTATTTTCTAAACAGAGAAAGGTCAAAGTAATCATATATTCAAAAGATATATTGTGGATTATTTGTTTTGGTTTAATCCAAAAGATTAAAAACAAAAGTTTGTTTTTTTCTGAGTTTTTGAAATGTTTTGGACTCTTAGTTGAATTATTCTAAAACCATTCTTATCTTTTTATATTCCAAAGAAACAAGTTTCTAATTTTGGAATATCATTTTTGCAAAACTTAAAGAAACAAACGTGGCAATATTTGTTATTTTTGGACCCTTTGTTAGGACATCTCACAAAATTAAATTCCCTTTAATTTATGTTTTCAGGTCCATCATGACATGTGTGTTAATAAATTATTTATATTGAATTTTGA